TCACTCATTCTTGCAGAGCGTACGTTGACCTAAACCCTGGTCAGGTGAGTACCTTACGGAATACCTGAAGCTTTTCCAGTCAGAGGGTATGTGTGGCTACAGTTTTACCCTCCTCTACCACGGCATTCCTGCCAGGTACACCGCCAGGTGCGTTCATATGAATTCTCAATTCTTATCGCAGCGCGAGAACACGGAAGCAGCACATTCTACTTAGTGGTCATCGAACTGACGCATATCAGTCTCACAATACTCTGTAGCAACAATGCACCATACAGAACAGCTTTGTAACACCCTCACGTCCCCGAACATTCCCCTCATGATCTTGCCAAGCACAAATGCCACTCGATTGCTCATTTCTGCAAGCAAGCACTCAAGCTGTGTATTTTTACCTCGTCAACGAGACAATCATCGTGATACATCCTAGGACAGATTCTCCAGCTAGGCGCTTCAGTACGCGATGGGGCTCCAAATTTACCTTGACGTTTCGATTCTTCTCTTAGTATTCACCGCATGTATCAGTGAGTGACGCGGTATCATCTGTGCCTGGCCGCATATGTTTCTTGCCGGAGACTCTTGCCGAGCAGTCAGTTTCAAGAAGTAAACCTTTCACGAGCATTACATCGTAACGCTTCGCATTCTAACCACTAAATTTCAGATTCTCTCTGGAGTTTATCTTTCGCATGTTTATTTTTATGCGTGACTTTCTTCCATGCTGGGCAGCGACAAACGCAAGCCCCACTGGTGGGGGTCCGTGCCCATTGCCCAGTCCCAAAAAGGCTGCAACTCTCGGAAATTTGACTGGTGAGACGAGAGAAAATTTGCGAATCTTTGGGAAATAATGTGTCTTCCAAGGCGAAAATTTGATAGAGCCTCTGAGATTCCGAACGATCCGTCCTTTGCTCCTTTCATCCTTGCTATCCTTTCCCTCACGTCGTTCCGCCGCTCCTCTCGATCATTTGCACAGCCATTCTCGCCGCGCGGCTGAAAGGCCCTCCTAACGGCTATAGGGGCGACAGCGGCGCCAGCAGTCGAATCTGCCTCGCCGTCTTCCAGTAAGCCCACCTGCTACTTTTCCACCTGCCGTATACCGTCACGGTGACACTTCATCCGTCGCTTTTCGTTTTCCGTATCAACTTGATACGGGAAACTAACTTAGTTGAACGACACCCGCCGGCCTCTGTGACTCCAGGCGGCTCGTCTTTGAACTCACGGGCGAGCCTTGCTGAGAAAAGTTGCTTTCATCTCTCTGAGTAAAGCGTTTAGCGCGACTCTCGGAAGCAATGCGACCAATCAATCCCCCCCTCTTTCGTTCGCTTATGCGAGCCCTGCCAGGGCTGATTGGTCAGCGACTGAATCCGTCAGGATAAACGGAGACTACAACGTCTTCTACCATGTTGTCGCCTCCACCTCCAAACCGGGCGCGCCGACCTCCGCCTTTGTCGCGCTAGGCAAGGCGGGGAAGTTGGGAACCACCCTCTTCGAGATTGCCGGGGCCAAAGCCACGTGGACGGATATAACAGTTCCGCCGAATCCCCCTATATCAAAGGACAAACTTATCACACCCACATATACCTATGTGTCTAAGGGGAAGTTGCTTAGATCGAGTATGCTACGAACTGCGTCGGATGGGAAGACTGTGAAGGACCTGCTGGACGCAATGAGGTCTTCAACGAAAGGGTATTACGGGGGATTCGCGACGGCGGTTTTTAAGAAGGGAGCAGCAAGCGGGAAGTTCAACAATGATCCGCTCCCACTAGCACTAGTTGGTAAGAATCCTTACTCTTCCGCATTTTCCTGCGCCACTCTCTCGCTCATGGACCCTGTCACCCCGACTCTTTTTCTCGCTCTTTTTCACCTTCGCTCCCACACCTGCTCCCCCTTCCGCTCCTTCCACTTCCATTATCTCGCTATCACTCTCTCCCACCCTCACCATCACTCCCCCGTCCACCCTCACCATCTCCCCCACTCTTACCGTTGACTTCACTCCCACTGTCGTTTAGGGGTGGTGGCGACCAAGCTTGCGGTCAAGGAAGTTCACTCCAAGTCCTCTGGTGACATGTACGGCACAGGCTGCGTTTCTATCGCCGTATTTCTGTAAGACTCTCCTGCGTTACCTTTCTCCCCTCTATTATCTTCCCGCTCTCTTGCTGATCCCGCCTTTGAACATTCTCTCTCCCTTTCAGCTTTTGCTCCCTTCTCTTCTCCCCTCCCTTCCCCCTTCAACCTCTCAAACTTTCCTCCCTTCTACCTTCACTCTCACGATTCCCTGCCTTCTCTCCCCGCTTTCTCACCTCGCCCTTCTCCCATCCCGTCTCCCCTCACTCGCTCACAATCCCCTCTGATCTGGCCCCACTCCTCCTCCCTCCACTCACACCCTCTTCTGCTCACCCTCCTCTCCCACCATCTCCCCTACCATTTCGCCCTCTCCTGCTTCCCCACACTCCCACCCTTCCTGTAAGCCTCTCCTCCATTCCCTTCTCCGCCCTCTTCTCCTCACGCTCTCACTGTTCCTGATTTTAAATTCTTGCTTTCTCACCTTCTCATCCCATCTCCCTTCACTCTCTCACATTCCCCTACTTTCTCCCTTCACGCTCTCACGTACCTCTACCTTCTCCCCTCACTCCCTCACACTCCCCTGTCATCTCCACTCGATCTCACCCTCCCCTCCCTTTTCCATTCCCTTCTCCCTAAACCTTTCCTGTCCCCTCCTTGCCTCTTCTTGCCCTTCCTTGCAACCTACCCCTCTCAGCAACACCACCACCAATGACTACGACATTCGTTACCGCGTCAGCGTGAATACAAGCGACCCTAACGGGCCCACTGAGGTTCTCCTTGCCCAGGGCTATAACGTGCCACTCACCCTGGTCAACCGAAGTGCCACGTGGACCAATCTCACGGCCCCGGACGCAAATGTGGCTGGCGGGTACATGTACGAAATCAATGGCACTATTCCGGCGACGTACAAGCAGTTGATGAATGGGATGTTGGCAGCACCTCGAGACTATTCTGATGTTCTCCTCCCGAACTATTTTGACCTTGGTGCGCTGAGGGGTTGGTTTGTCAATAGTACGCTGGCAGGAGGGAGCAGGTGCGCCATAGCCTAGAGGGGTGAGAGCAGGTAAACGTGACCGAGTTTGTGCGTGTATCTTTGTAAAACTGTAAATATATATCTGTACAGTACCTGTTTAGTATTCCCAACGTGCATACCATTTCACCCTGTGCCATCCCCCCATACTTTTGTTGCCCTGTTCTACACATACGGTACAAAACTTCACATTAAAGATTCCTACATTACCGAATGGCTTGTACTCCAAAGGACACATGATGCATGGACAATCAGCGTTGCATGGGTGAGGAAAGATCGACTTAGGGTACATTCCTGAAGCACGTCACAAAGGCCTCGCGTCTCAATCGAAGAGATGCAGTGCGGTGGAAATGTTCGACACTTAGGTTTAATGCGGTGCAGACTGGTACAGAGGTTGGATGACGCGATTGAGACATTTGTGTCAAGAGCGGAATGAGCCCTTACCAACCAACCAGCTAGCAACACCTCGCTACCATCACACCAAACCAGGAGTGCCCTCCCACCAGCACTTTCGAATGTCTCAACCTGCACTTGTGAGTCCAACCAACACTTGAAGGGGTCTTTGCTCCACCGGCCGTTTGTACGGTAGCTACCGCTCAGCATTTCAGGGGTCCACCGTTTGACACCCAACGTCACTACAATCGTACCTTGTAGGACAAACTTCTCTCACCTCCCTACCACATCCCACCCCACTGGCACCAGAATCTTCCGTCACTCTCTTGTGCCCATTGATTGTTTATATTGATAACAAATCAATGTTGGTCGTGCGTGCGCTTCACGTTTCAGGGGTCATTGATTGAATTGAAATATATCAAAACTCTATGTGTCATCACGGCAAGACTCTTCATAACACATAAATGGTAGTCTCAAATATGCCGGACACTAGGCTGACAAGGACCATGTTATGTGCATTCCTTCGTGATTCTCCAGCCTCCTCGAGAAGAAAACTATTTCGACAGGCTGATCCACTGCAATGCCTTTTCTGGTACTTCGCAACTTCCCCAATGCATCCTGCAGCCAACATTACGCAAAAATTAAGCAGCAGTTTCATGGACAGCTCATCGGTAGACTGGTCCACTGCTATGGTACTACACTTCCCCAATGCATCCAGCAGCCAACACTACTTATAAAGCAGCAGCCTGGACAAACGCAATCGTGATGTGCTCGCATGGAAAAGGGCACTATGCGTAATCTAAGGTCTCAAAAGGGAATAGAAAAATGATGACTGGGCAGGGATGTGTGGGGCTGGGCTGTGCCACACAGCCCACACTCATACCCACGCCAAGGCCAAAGCCCAACAAAAAGGCCCAAGGCCAAGCCTAGGCGCCATGCTCATCTCTTTTGGATCTACGTCTTTCCTTTCCCCTTCCCCTTGTGCCCCTTGTGCTGCTTCTTCCCCATCCCTCCCTTCCCTCCTCCTGCTCCCCCACCCGCTCCCCAGGGTCCTCGCTAGGTTTTGAACCCCCCTGATGCATCAGACGAGCCCGTCTGACCAAAATTTTCAAAAACCTTGTCTGACCAATCAATACAGAGTTACGAGTGTGTGGATGCGCGTGGGAAAAAAATTGAGTCGAACTTCTCTCTCGCCTGTCACATCCATTCGAAGGGCACATTCGCCCTGTCATACTACATTCGCCCCTTCACACCACATTCGCCCCTTCACACCACATTCGCCCCTTCACCTCACACCACATTCGCCCCTTCACCTCACACCACATTCGCCCTATCACAAGAGGGGTTCACACTTCGCCCTGACACAACGAGTCAACCTGTCACATCAGTGATCCATGCACTGTCACGGCAGAGATTCCCTTCACACCACTGGAAATCGCGATATGCTATGTTTCGATTTCAGACGATACAGAAAACACGTGTCTGATAGAACAGATGGAAACTAAAAACCATTTCTGACCCATCAGGCGGCATAATAAACCCATTTCTTGAAAATCAGATGAGTGAAAAAAAATCTGTCTGATTTCTCAGAAAAACAGACAAAAATGTCTGATAGCGAGGGCCCTGCCGCTCCCCCTCCCCCCTTCTTCCCCCCCGCCCCCATCACACTGGTCATTCCCCTCCGTGCCGCTGCCAGCTTCCCAGCCCTCCGATTGAGCATCTTTGCATCCAACGGCCAGTATGCGTGAGGCTCCAGCTTCCCTTCCTTCTTCACATCGCCTCCCGCACGCCGCCCGCTGCCTGCGGCATGTCCATCCCCTGTATAAGACCACCCGCTACCACTACCAGTCTGCTTCTTCCCGCCACGTTTATCCTTACCAGAAGGAATGGCCTGGCCTGAATCAACCTTAGCCTTTTTCCTGCCACCACCACCACCAGCACCAGCAACCCCTCTTTCTCCTCCTTCACCTCCTCCTCCTGTTGCCCCTCCTCCGCTGTGGATCCGCCGGCCAAACGCCAGCTCAGCAGCCCTCGCAGATGCCATATTGGCATCACTCATCGCCACGTCATCATCCTCCATATCCCCATAGTCCGAATTCCCCTCTCTGTCATCCCCCCCTGCGCCCACCCCTTCCTGGTTCTTCCTTTCCTCCCACTCCCCCTACCCGTACCACCCTCACCCCCTTCGGTCTCATCCGGGACAACTATCTTTCCATCCTCTGTATACTCGAACCCCGAATCCTCCCCTTCCCCCTCTGCACCCCCATCACGATGCCGCTTCGAACCACGACGACCACCACCAGCACCAGTAAGACCGCCACCACCAGATGCCAGGCTGGCATCACCCATCGCCACGTCATCATCCTCCATAACCCCATAGTCCAAATTCCCCTCTCCGTCATCCTCCATAAGGCGGGATTGAGGAGGTAGTGTTGAGAAGAAGGAAGGAGAGAGGGAAGTGTGAGGGATGAGGGAGAGAAAGAGCAATAAGAAGAGAGATACTAGATGGGGGCAGAAAAGCAGGAGGTGAAAAAAGGAAAGCAAAGAGAGAAAGATTGCACCAGGAGAAATGGGCTGACAGCCATCAGATAAAATGCTATGATAAGGGAAGAAACCACACCCACAACACCCCCATCCCACACCCCATCCCACACCCCATCCCATAGCCCATCCCACACCCCATCCCATTGTCAACGGGAGTGTTGTTTGGCCCCGTCCTCGCTTGGGCGGAGTCAACCTCGTGGTCGGATGTGCGGGGGTTACAGCCGACCTGCAGCAGTGGGCACAGGGGCCACTGCAAGGGCGCCGAGCTGGAGGGCGCCTAGCTGGAGGGCGCTGAGCAGGAGGACGCCGTCCTGGACGCCTGGTTGGCGTCCTGGACGCTTGGACGGCGTCCTGGGAAGCTGTACGCCGACCTGGGCGTCGGCACGACTACCCGGGCGCCTGGTCAGCGTCGTGGGCGCCTGCACGGCGTCCTGGAAGGCCAGACGCCGATTTAGGCGTCTGCACGGCGTCCTAGGAGCCTGGGACGCCGACCTGATCGTCTGGTCGGCGTCCTGGGAGGCTGGACGCTGCTCTGGAGGTCTGCACGGCGTCCTGGGCGTCTGGACGCCGACCTGGGGGTTTGGACGGCGTCCTAGGCGCCTGGACGCCGGACTGGGGACGCCGGGCATTGGTGGCCGGCTACGGACTGTGCTGGTTGACCGGGCGTAGTTGCCCGGTCGACCGGGATACCCGGGCGACATGCATGAATGTCGCCGGGGTGGAGTCTGCGAGGCCGACCTCGGGGGTGGTATCTCGAGGTCGACGTGGCTGGTGGGCGCAGTCGCTGGCGTGGAGTCTGCCAGGCGTCTGCGCTGTGCACGTGATGAGGAGTGGCGCACTAACCAGCTGCACGCATCTGCGAAGCAGGTGCACCGCTGTCCTGCGGGTGCAACGCTGTGCAGCCGACTTGCTGCAGCGTTGGCACACCGTGGACTTGCAACGTTGGCAAACCGCTACTCTGCAACGCTGGAGCGGTGCGAGCGCTGCTGCGCTGGAGCGCGGTCGACCATGCTGCGCTGGAGGTCGACCAGCAGCCTAGCTAGCTCTGATGTAGTCTGTAATGCCAATGTTGTTGCATCCATTGTTGTCAATCTTTGCTAGTGAAACTCTTGCAAAATCTCCCCGTGAATGTGCAAGCAGAGAACACACAAGCAAAGGACTAAGGAACGCAGAGATCACGCGAGCACCCGTGCCTAGCCCGTAGTCTAGCTCCCGTTGCTGCAGTTATCTCCGCACCCATAGCCCATCCCACAGCCCATCCCACACTCCATGTCCCACCCCATGCCGCCCATGCCACACCCCATTTCCCACCCAATGCCACACCCCATGCCCCACCCCATGCCACGTCAGCACACCTAGATGAGAGCGCGTTCGACCACGCAGACTTCTTCGACCCGTCCTGGCGTGACGCCGACTTGGTGGCGCGTGATTTGCCGCCAAACGCGCTGTGCCCGTCCTTGTCAGCATCACTGTAATCCTCGTCATCGCTGAAATCGCAGTCCGCTGACGTGTCAGAAAAGAGGTTGGAGTGGCTCCAGTCACTCGTTCCGTGACACACGGTGAGAGGGAAAGAGGGAAGGGGAGGGGAAGAGGGGTGGAAGGGGAAGGAGGGGGCGGATACGGAGGCAGATGCATGGGGGGCACATAGCGTGTCTGAGAAGAGGTTGAAGCTGCTCCAGTCACTCGTTTTGACAAAATGTTTTGGATAGACGAGGAAACGAGAGGGGGGGTGGGGGCGGGAAGGACGAGGGGGAAGGGGAGAGAAAGGACAAGAGAGTGCAGGACGGTGAGAGGGGGGGGGGAGTGCAGAGACTGAAACAAGAACAGGACAATAATAGACAGAGACGCAACCACTGTAGTGCTGACAATGTGGCGAGAGGGGGGTTGAGGAAGAAGAGGAAAGAAGGGGAAGAAGAGGAAAGAAGGGGAAGAAGAGGAAAGAAGGGGAAGAAGAGGAAAGAAGGGGAAGAAGAGAAAGTAGATGAAGGAAAGGACAGAATTCATCTGCCTTTGCTCTCTTGCCACTTACCTGGCCCTGCTTCTGCCAGACATGCTCGACCGCCCGTCACCGCCCTCCTCTTAGTCCCCTGCCTGCGAGCCCTCCCAGTGAACCCCCCCTGCACGTCCCCCCAACCCCCCCCCCCCCCCGGCCCATCCTTGCTCCCAACCCCATCTTCTTCTCCAGCTGTCCCCTTCTCTCCTCTCATCGCCACAATGTTTGCCCCACCCATTTCTCCCCCCTCGCCTGCTCACGTTCCCCCTCATCCTCGTCCCCCTCCTCCTCCGCCACAACCCTTCAACAGCAGCTGCTTGGCTTGGCACTATCGCCTCCCATCCCCTCTGATCCCCTCCGCCTGCCAGAGCGCCGCTATAACGGATTGCGTACATGCAAATTGCCTGCGCGTGCCGGTTGCCAGACGCGTGTGCGCCGCGTCTAGAGGTTACGTGACTACGAGGCTCGTGGCTCCTGCTGCTGCGCCTGCCGACTTTTGAGTCGACTCAAAAGTCTGTCAGAGTATGTTATTTGTCTAGCCTGCAGTGGGGTACTCAATAGTGAGTACAGCCCTTTAGGGTTTGCTATTTGTACCAACCTGCTTGCTAGTCCCATCATCCTTTTCTCAATTCTTGTTTCTGTACAACTCTCGCTCGTACTTGATGCCTCGTCGTAGTCTTCCTGTGGCCTAGGCTCCTAAGCCTAGGCCCGACTACTTAGTCTATTTAACATGGTATCAGAGGGCGGCATGTCTGCCGCCTTCCTGTGTATGGGCCCACCACCTGCTTCCGCTACCGCACTGTCCGCCGCGCGCCCCGTGGTGCGCGGCGCCGAAATTAGGGTTTCTGCCCGCCGCGTGCTCGGGGTGCGTGGCGGTTTACCCTTCCATGGCGCCCGTCGTGGTGCCCTTGGGGGGCATGCGCGGTCCCCTCCCGTCGCCCGTCGAGGCGCTCTCGGGGGCCCGCGCGGCCTCCCCTCCCGTCGCCCGTCGTGGCGACCACGGGGGCCCGCGCGCGGTCCCCTTCCGTCGCCCGTCGAGGCGCTCTCGGGGACCCGCGCGGCCTCCTCTCCTGTCGCCCGTCGTGGCGACCACGGGGGCCCGCGCGCGGTCCCCTCCCGTCGCCCGTCGAGGCGCTCTCGGGGGCCTGCGCGGCTTCCCCTCCCGTCGCCCGTCGTGGCGACCGCGGGGGCCCGTGCGCGGTCCCCTCCCGTCGCCCGTCGAGGCGCTCTCGGGGGCCCGCGCAGCTCCCTTTCTCGTCGCCCGTCGGGGCGCCCTGGGGGCCGCGCTCCTCCTCCCCCTCCCTCCTACCTTTCACCTGCTGCAGCCGCCCCTGGAGCAGCCCGCACCTGCAGCAGCCGCCCCTGGAGCAGCCCGCACCTGCAGCAGCCGCCCCTGGAGCAGCCCGCACCTGCAGCAGCCGCCCCAGGATCAGCGCGAGCCGCCCCTGCGGCAGCCCGCGGCCCGTCCTTGCAGCCCGTCCCGTCCCCCCCCCCCCCCCCCCCCCCGTGCTGCCCATTGCTCCCATTCCGCCGTGCATTCCGCGGTGGTGGGGGTGTGGGGTGCCGAGCATGGGGGTGACGGGTGTGGGGGTGGCGGTTATGCGTTCCTCCCCTTGCTCCTCCTCCTCCCTCGTCTCCCACTGCTGCAGCTGTCGCTGAGGGGGGTGGGTGTGTGGGAGCCTAGGGTTTAGGGTTTAAGGGGGGTGTCGTGGGAGTGGAGCTAGGGGTGCAGCAGGGGGTGTGTGATAGGGGCGTGGGGCAGCTGGGGGAGGTTGAGTGGAGGCGGCCGTCGTGTCGCCAGCAGCGCCAGTAGTCCGGAGGCTACAATCTCCGGTAGTCGCCAGTCGCCTGTGGGTCAGTTGCTCCAGTCAGGAGGCTACAATCTCCGTGGAGCCAGTTACTCCTGTAGTCCGGGTCCTTGCTTCGGTAGCCACTGAGCCAGCAGCTCCTGTGTGTCTGCAGCTTCAGTAGTCGCCTCCCATCTTCTCTCCCCCACAGTCTCTCCTCCTCCTCACTTGCCCTCTGTGATAGCCTCTAGCTTTACTTATCATTGTGAACTATTTCTATGACTGCTTGCTCTGCTGATTATACCCCACTTTGACTATGGGGGTGTGTCAAAGTATGTTATTTGTCTAGCCTGCAGTGGGGTACTCAATAGTGAGTACAGCCCTTTAGGGTTTGCTATTTGTACCAACCTGCTTGCTAGTCCCATCATCCTTTTCTCAATTCTTGTTTCTGTACAACTCTCGCTCGTACTTGGTGCCTCGTCGTAGTCTTCCTGTGGCCTAGGCTCCTAAGCCTAGGCCCGACTACTTAGTCTATTTAACAAAGTCACCTAGAGGATACGTGACTAGGAGGCTCCTGCTGCTGCGCCTGCCAGGACGTTTCCTGCTGCGATTCGCGTGGCGGAAGGCTCTGTGAGAAGGTGAGACGGGGCGATAGTAGTCCTGCGGATGGGAGAGAAGGCAGGGTGGAAGACAAGGGGACGGAGAGGGCACGGAGGCGGGAACAGAGGGGGGAACAGAGGGGGTAACAGAGGGGGTGGGGGTTCAGGGAGAGAAATAGGGCATAGTGATGCGAAGTTGAGCACAGGCGACAGGTAACAGTGGCTTACAATCCGACAGGCGCCACACCCACGAGACGTGAGTGTCGCCTGGTTTACAATCCGCCAGAGCGCCACTATAACGGATTGCATGCCCGCAAACTGTCTGCGCCACACACACAATCCGACAGGCGCCACACACACGAGACTCTTCACAGTCCCATAGACCGCATAAACCAAATTGACCGCATAGCCCTCTAGCGGACTGACCTTGTAAGCGACGTTGAGCGCGAGAGACGGGTAGTAGCAGCGCATAACACTTGTGTCATTCCCTCTCCCTCGCCACACACACAGGGACAGGCTCTACGCAAAACGTATAGTCCACCGCCAAATTTGTGTTGAAAACTTGAAAATAACCAACATCAGTTGACCCTTGTCACTTACACCACACACATGCTGGGAATGTATACATGCTGGGAATGCTGGTAAGTATGTACATGTGCACTCCAGTGACCTGGCATTGGTCTCATCGCCTCAACTCGAATTCTGCGCAAAACAGAACAGCCAGACAGACTCAACTCGATACTCGACCTCGAGCTACCAAAAACGAAGCAGCAGCGTGCACGAAGGAAAGAACTCAATTTTGGGCAACAACCCACGCAGAGTAAATCATTCTAGGGATCCAAAAGCAGAGTGTGAGTAGAATAGAGATCTGCACATGAATCATAGAGTAGGATGATCGACCCTATCGACGTGGGCTCCCGCAACAAAAGAAAAAAGCTACTACACGTCCATCCGGAAATGTCAGCGGGGAAATTTATATTCCGTACCCAGAATTTGTATCCGCACTCCTTCTTCATGAAGGTTCCCAGAGGTGGAAGAAAGACGGTCGCGATAATTGCACCCGCATTCCAGCAATCTGACATTTTGCTTATACATCTGTTTATAGCGAAAGCAAGAACCGAAGGAGTAAGAATGGTTATCAATTAATTGCTCACATAAATAGTCACTGAACGGCAAAGACTCACGGACTCGGAGTATAGATCGACAAATTGACAAGACTGACCTAAAGACAGGGCCTCAGATTCGTTTTGGGTGACCCTGAGCACTCAGGGTCCCTTGGGGCTGTAACACTGATCATCAGGGTTGCCTGTGGAGAAACACTGATTTCTCAGGGTTGTTGAAAAAGAAACACTGATCAAACAGGGTGCCTTGTAAGAAAACACTGATCAGTGAATCTACAGCCACAATTAAAATAACTTAAAAAAAGCGAATCTCTTTGCGCCGTTTGGATCAGCTTGGACAGCCAATCTCTTTGCGCCGTTTTGCCTACCCAGCACGAAATACCCCGTTCAGCTGTATCTGGGCGAGCCGCATGGTGGTGTCGGTGCAGGGTGGGTACATGAATGATGACGGCGCGCAAAACAGCGAGCATCACGGAGATTTTGGTTTCAGGGTCGTCTCCGATACAACACTGATTCGTCAGTGTCGTCAAACAGGAAACACTGGAAAATCAGTCCTTGGAAACATAAAACACTGATTCATCAGGGTTGTAAAAAGAAAAAGGCTGATAGATCAGGGTCACAAAAAAAAACTGGGGTCAAACTTCAGGAAATCAGGGTAAAATTCCTGAAATCTGAGGCCCTGCCTAAAGAATAGTCTATGTCCTTCACAGTATGCCCACATACGCTCGTTATGGCTACTACTGCTGGCGGTTCCGAGGCTGCCTTGATATTCACGTGAACCTTAATCCTAGACTGAGAGTTGATATTCATGTGAAACTCGAAACTTGAAACCGCCAGCTTTGAGTGGCTAAAACACTAGCAGCCGCTACACATGGACAATGGAGCTTGGAACCGCTATACTGAACACCAGTACCGTGTACAATGCACAACAATGTTCATTCGTGGAGATGCTATGTTCTTCAGAACATAGTTTTGCAAAGGTACAGCGTGCGAAAGAAAATAATCACATGGAACTGAACGACGTACTTTGGGTCTTCCGAAAATGCGCGGGAAAATCACTGACTGTACTGGATCCTCCCGAAGCATACAGGAACCGCACTGGATCCTCCCAAAGCTTTGTATACTGTACGCTACTGACAGGTTGCTTGCTTGGCGCGCAACAAAACTGGATGATCGTGAGTGGCTGGCATGCTTCGCTTAGAGTACGAGGTGTGCACAGATTTCCTAGTCAAAAAGCAAACTCGAAGATGTGAGTCTAGCACCATGGCAGAGGTCACACGAATTCATGGCTGGCATTCTTAGCTTGAGTGACTAATCCAAAATCAAGGATAATATAAGAATGATCGAAAGTCTCATATTTATAATGCATGTCATACCAAACAATATAAACCACAGAATGTAGGAAGTCCTAAGCTTCCAACTGTCAGTACTCCACTCAGCTTGCCTTCTGACATCTTCTTGACCCCTCTTGGCCGCTAGGAGCAAGCTCCTAACGTTACACCCA